TCGCACCACGCCTGAATTAAATTATTATGCTACTTGTCTAAATACTGATATTGTCACATCACTAGACTTGCGCTATACGTGTAAAAAATATCTGCTTTCTTATACTTATATACTCGTGAGATATAGGTTGCTTCTTATTGTGATAATTACACTTTTCGTGGTACTTCAGCGTATAACGTGTAGCTAGCGAACAAAACCGCGTGTACACGGCTCAGTAGTATTACAACATAAATAATCATAATACTGGTATTATAAGTTCGTTTTGAGCATTGCCAGCATCTTAAAGTCGCGTTTTGTCTATTACTCGATGGAGGGCACTAAAAATCCTCTATTAATATTGTATTGTCCCTAAGTACGAGTATTAACAATAAAACCCTAATAAAATATTTTCAAATAAGGAAACTGAAATATCTTAAAGCGTTTAATACGAGGGTCAAACTGAAAGTACTTAGAAAATCAAAAACTGATTACATTAGCCAGTTATTAGTTTTATTATATCTTTTCAAAATATTGTCCATTCACGTCAATACACCGCTGCATGCGATGGAACCACTGGGAAAAGCACTTTGCCCACTCGTCCTTAGGGGTCTCTTCAATGGCATCGCGATACGCAGCCACCGCTTCTTCAGCATTCATAAACCGCTTTCCTTTAAGTTTTTCTTTAATTTTTGGAAATAAATAAAAATCACAAGGCGCGAGGTCGGGGCTATACGGCGGGTGACCCAGTAATTCAACGTTTGATGTCGCCAAATAGTCGATCGTTCGCTTGGCGGTGTGCGACGAGGCGTTGTCGTGGTGAAGGAGGATCCTACTGCGAGGTCGTTTCTCTCGAACTTTTTCCAAGACAAGTGGCAAACAATTGGTAGTGTACCATTCTGCAGAAACTGTTTTTTGATCCTCTAACACAATTGTTGCAAAATGACCTATCCTTCCAAAGAACGAGGCCACCATTTTTTTTCCCGCACTTCGATCTCTCTTCACTTTAGTTGGCAACTCCTCAAAAGGAAACACCCACTGAGCAGATTGTCTTTTGGTTTTAGGATCATAACAGTAAATCCAGCTTTCGTCACCTGTTAGTATGTCGAACACAGCATTTGAGTCACCTCCGTTAAATCTTTCAATCATTTTACGACACCAATCCACACGATGGAGTTTTTGAGCCTCAGTCAAATTATGAGGTATCCACCGGGCGCAAAGCTTCCTGACCGCTAAATGTTCGTGGAGGATTTTGTGCACTTGACTCATACCGATGCCTAAGCTTGTCCGAATCTGTTGATAGGTCACTCTTTTGTCAGTCTCTATCATACGCCGCACAACACAGATGTTATCTTCAGTCGTCGCCGTAGAAGGCCGTCCCTCACGTAAATCATCAGTGAGATTAGTGCGACCACGTTTAAACTCATTAAACCAGTTGTAAACAGTCGCACGAGATGGGGCTTCATCGTGAAAGGCCAATCGTAGTCTATCATAACTTTCTTGTTGACTTAAATGACATCGAAAGTCATAAAAAATCATTGCACGAAAATTTTCTCGTGTTAAATTCATGATGACGTGACACAGACAATTTTCAATTTGCCGCCAAATCGTAAAACAAATGACAAATGAATGAAATATATACTCAGTAATATTGGCAAAGAGTTATATTTTCAAATTTTAGAATTATTTTTTTATTATATTGTTTATAAGTGGCCAGTTCTAAGAACTTTCAGTTTGACCCTCGTAGAATGCATCTACTTATAAAGTCTCAAATGTAGGTCCGAAGCCTTACCATAAAAAAGATAACAATGGTACCTACTAACTAATAGCTATGCTAATAGTGTCGGATTAAAGTGTCTGTGACATAATGGCGGACGCACAGACAGACAAACATGACGAATCTTCTAGTCCAAGGTATTAAATTGTTATATTTCTACGGAACACACGTTATATGAGACCGACTCGCACTTGCCTGTTTTTATGCTGATTGGTATCTAAACAAGTTTAATACACATTAAAAATAATATCTTACACATTAAAAATAATTTAACTTTTGTAGGTTAGAACGAATGTTTTTGGAATATCTTTCAAACTAATACTTCTGATCAGTTATTAGTTTGAAAGATATTCCATGAGGAACTGTCTCCATTTTCTTAAGTACTTTACGATAGCAGCGGCTTCCTTCTCTATAACCAAATAATTTCGTTCACTATTGTGAAGGCTTCTCTAAAAAAATCCTTTGTTTCTAATAAGGAGCTGGAGCAAGGACTCGTACCAGTGATCATCCAACTGGATGTCAACAACAATGACCACAATTTTAACGAATATTTTCTCATTTTACAGGGGGTCAGAAGGGTTTTTATTATAATGAACAAACCTGCTGGTCATGGTCGACGTACCACTTTACGTAATGGGGCGATGTGTCATCTTTAACTAAGTGCGATGTATATTAAACAATGTTAGTGTAATAGCTTGCCCTAATACTTCATCATAAATGCACATACCTCAAGTATACTACTATAAATAAAATTATATGCGAAACGATGTGTTTTTTTATTTTTATTGAAGGATTCCATTTACTTATGCTTTTTTTACTAAAAGTCGTATGCGAAAAATATACTATCTCTTTGATTATAATATCTACATCTAGGGGTCTAACTGGGGTGCGACCGCCTAACTCGCAACCCATAGGATACGATATATCTTATAAGTGTACCAGAATCTGATAGCATTTTGCGAAATCTCAATTTGTAGAAGGCAACATTGGTGTACGGTACTTTCTTGATTTCTCCATGACAACCATTCCGGTTTTTTTTCGTGTATAAAAGTAAATTAGTTTTCAAAACTCGTATTTCGTATTTCTAAGTTTCGAACTATGCAAATTTCAGTTTTTTAATATGTTAAATAAAAGGAACGGAAATGACTATCTTTGGCCATTCCTTTTCTGCAAAAATCAACTTTTGCTAGAGACGCCATCTAGTGGAGGTGCTTTTTAGTGCTTTCGTTTTTTTTATACTTCCTCATTAAAAAAGAAGCTCTTTACCTGGAACCAATGAGGAAGTATTTAAAAAATAAAAATTAGTTATGGAAGGCATACTAAATGTCACTTATGATGTTTGGATATTGTCTATGATATTATTTTTTTTGTATAAATTTGCTATTAAATGAGGTACAATAAAAGATGGAAAGACAATTATAGTTCAGCCCACTTAGCTATTACACTAGCATGCAAATATCATATTAATTTAATTATTAAATTGAAATACAGACAATTAAAATAATTATTATTTAGGACTAAATCATTATTACAACCATTAAAAAATGACAGAAAATTAAAACTATAGCATTATCATTATAACAAATTCAATTTCATGAGGAAGTATTTAAAAAATAAAAATTTTAATGGTTTATATGTCAACATTAGTGATGAGCCAACTTATTGGTTGCTCGTAACTTCAATTGACTCGATTCATCCGAATTTAGGTTTGGAATCGAGAACAAAAAGCGGAGCGCTGAATTCAGCTTGTTTTTTTATATGTAGTATTTCCATATGGAAATAATGGCACATATGTGCCATTATGCATTATGCGACTGGCAAATTATTATCAATTCTTTATTGTCTTTAATTACCTATAGTTCTGGCGGCGTTATTATTGGAATTCTTTATTTTCTCAATGTTAAATACAAAACTCAATATTAAATATAATATTTCTCGCTTGATATATCAATGGCTTTTTCATTCAACAGAAAATAATATTTTCACATCAATCTTCACATAATTAACATCACATTCCACGGGCTGATTGACACTCACATACACAAATCGAGATTATTTTTTTGTTTTCTTTTGCTATCAGATTCAGATACACCTATATCGATGTTATGGCAACATTGCTACTTTGATATGTATTTAAATAACTACAAGCGAATGATGATTATGGATTTGACAGCAGTATTACCAAGTTCAGCCTAACACAGAGCACATCATTATATAAGGAAATAGGCACATGTTTGGAGCTATTTTTGTAATAAAAGCGTCCAAGCGTCCAGCTATTTTTGTAAACTCCATTTAGGGTATTTGACACTATTAAAAATAAGTTGCATATTATGGTCATCCTGTGAAATAATAATCGAATAAAGTTTATTTCCTAGAATCTGCAGATAAAATATGTTCAGCTTTACTAAAGAAACATAAAGAAAATGCAACATTATTATGAATTTTAATGAACGACGAAAACGCCCTGTAATGCGTTATCGTCGCAACCATTAACAGGTTTTGTTTACCGGCAAGTGACGTCATAAATAAACCGGAAGCTGTTATGTCAAAACAGTGTTTTTACAGATACGCAAAAATTGTATTTATACATAAAATTTGTAGCTCACTTTTATTAACATAACCAGAGTAGGTAGAAATACAAAACATAAAATTTTACTTCAATTTCTATTCTGTAATACTATTTGTTTACTTCGTAAATAAATAGTTGTTAAATAGGTTACGTCGCCTTGACATTAACTGGCATGTGACGTCACAAATGCCACGTGATCAGCGCTATTACATAGAGCAGCGTTTTTTGCGCGATTTTGAGTTTTTATATTTTAACAATTATAAATAGAACATTTTCTAATGAAATTATAATTTGTATTAAATAACCATTTAAAATAATTTTCAGAAAAGCGTCAAATACCCTATTCTTAGTGGAACTATATTTGAAAAATTGCGGGTAATTCAAATTGATTTGGTGAATATTTTCCAAGAACAATTTGAAAAGTATAGTTTAAGTTATTGCAATTGCTTTTAGATGAAAATCTAACTATAAACACAGTTTTCTTTGAAAAATAAAACTCATGAGAGATAATTTTGTAAGGATTTCAATATATTTACATTTAACACGCCACGGAGGGTATTTCCAGCGGGTTTTCCGAGGTAGACCGGCTTCGCTTAAGTCTGTCCTTTTCAGGACGGGTTTATTCAGACTCGTCTGATTTGAAATTAAGGTTAGTAAATAAAGAAACAAAAACCAATTGAAATGCAATTTTTTATTACTTCAAAAGCATAGTCTTCACTTTAAAAATCACTGATAAAATTCCTTTCATCGACTCTTTAAATTGCCATAAAAATTTATATAATATTATAGTTAGGTATGAATTATCGCGACGGACTTACTAGCCCGCCCTGCATATATCTCTGTAATAGATACATATAAGCATATTACAAAATAAACTCTATATACATCTACATAAGTTACAATATAAATAATTTAGATCACTCTCTCGTACATTTGCGACACATCGAAAGCCAATATCGCATATGTGTTAGCGTCGATTTCGACACATGCGTACTTAGTGATTGCTTACAGTTAGATTAAATATAATAGTTCCATGTTGTTACTTAAAATCATATACATTTAATAAATATAAAATTGAAAAATATTTTGGTCGCCGAAAATTATACATAACCACAAATACACATAAACTTTAAATAACAAAAAGCGCCCCTAGCGGTACCTTACAGTTCGCATACAACTTACGCCAGTTCGTTTTGTTAATAGTATGTTTCTAAATAAAATAAATTTTCAAAAAAACACATCAAAACCAACTAAACGTATGCAAATATAAGACCTTATACATAACTGTGTTTTTAAGTGCTTTGGATACGCATGGGGCACTGAAGTGTGTTCACAATACCCGAAGGCATTTATTTAAAACATTATTTGAAATATCATATTTCAGTATTTATTCCATTATATGGTGATTCTCAAATATATTATTAAAATTGACAAATTGCACTAAACGATCTATAGTACTTAACAGTAAATATATTATTAAACATGAATTTGCGTGTTCGAATATTTTTACGATATAAAATTTATATTATCGAGGCAAAATCGTAATTTGCGATAGTCGCTTTTATTTTATAAAATGAAGTGTTAATGGAACCTCATGGTTTGTTTTGTCTTATAGAATTAGCATTAGCTAGTGGTCTAATTAGATTTATTACTTGAAACTTATATTCATATAGACAAATATACTGGAAGTATTACAGTAATATCATTAAAAACAATCTCTGTTATACATACTTTTATTTTGATTAAATTGCAACTCTAAGGCCTTTGAATTTAAAGAATATTTTAATATAAATACAATTTAGATACAACAAACTTCTGAATTAATGAACAATCTCCAACGACTTTCGAGAAAATCTGTTCAGATATCGCGACACAGTAAATAAGCAGATACATAAAGGTATATTGGATGGAAACAAAAGATAAAAAAGCTTGAAATAAATCTTTTTATCAAAAAACTTGTATTGCTTTCATGGTATTCGTTTACACAGACAGATGGTCAGTGGTTGTAACGATACCCTTCTTGTTCATAAATGTTTAGTTAGGTTAATAAAGTTTAATCAAATTCTCATTTGCTCTTTTAACTTCTGGTTTTATTATGGCACCCATTAGACATATGTTTACTGTTAAATGGATATTGTTACGACATCAAAAAGTGGTGAAAACGATTCTAATCTGTGCTACGAGTTTAAAGTTCAATTTCTAGAATATTACCAATTTTGAAACTGTTAAAGAAAAAAGAAACAATTACAACACTAAGAACCTCTATTGATTGTCTTAAATAATAAAACTGTGATGTTCCATCTTCAGTAGCACTCTCGTGAAAATCGGTCACCAAACTACTACTAGTATTATGAAAACATTTATAAACAGCTCAGTGCCTATCTGACGGATGTTCAGTACAGGACTATATATTAGCATAAGATATACATTATAGTATGGACTGACGGATCATCTATTAGTTCTGATGTTACGAATTTTCCGTCAGATTTCTACCGACCAGGGGTGCGATCGCCTAACCCTCTAGCCACAGGATACGACATCTTAGCAATGTTGCATCGATATTTCGTTTCATTTAACTAATTCAACGTGTACTTTATTAACGACCAATTAATGGTAAATATTGTTGATTTGGAAGCAGGGTTACCAAATTAGTAATTTATCCACCAAAAGGCATGTCAAAGAAGTAAAAGATGAACTTTGATAAGATGTCGTCTCCTATAGAGGAGTTAGGCACGCACCAATGGTTTGTGTAATTTAAATCTGTGTGTCGCATAGAACCTCCTACAAAATGGTAACGAGTTAGGCATCAGAATGCTCTCGAGTCATCTAACCTTAAAAGTAAACAAACTGTAACGCGTCCCGAGCGGCAGTCCCCGGGATGGCGTCGATACTCTAAACTTCACCGTTACCTATATTTAAATATATTGCAACCGAATCAATATCTGCCTAGAATAAAATTAAAAACAATGCGTCCCAACGCACGGGCATTCATGCAAACACACGCACACACACACAAACAAACACACAGCAGTATAGTTTAGGAACATCAACAAGTGTAAACGGTGTGACAATTGTTATCTTGCTTACTGAATATATTAATGTGACAACGAGAAATGTGACTGAAGCGACTTGCGGCAGATACCGCTAGCACCTAATCTGACGGGCACCGAACCTACTACTACATCGTAATTTTTTATTTATTTTACATCCTGTACGATCAAATAGGATATTTAATGTAATAACCAGAACCTAAAAAGGCTAATATACTACCAGCAGCCCTGATATAAGTTTTATGATACGATGCAAGCGCGGTTATTAAACTGCAAATTTGATTACACCTAAAATTACAAGATTCGATGCCGATAACCACAAAGCGAACAATTGTATACAAATACTATACCCGCGTCGCTATTTTCACACCTGCGATGAAATATATCGACTATATATTGTTTACATTTAACAGAAGCTATTATTTGTGCCACCAGTATATTATTAGAGAACGGTAAAGCGGAGCGAGAAACTGGACCTTATATCGTATGTATAAGTGACAGAATCGCGCACCGCTTGCGTCCCGTCAATGTTCCTACATATCCCTGACTTAAATCTAAAGCGAAATAGGTCAATTACGCGTCGTAATATATTTGGTTCTCACTAAAGTAAATCAACATTACACACCAATCACAATGTATATATTATCTATTTATCATTATATAAATCTGAATCGAAGGCATCGATAGTAATAATTTATTATGGTGCAAGTTGCGGCTGCGACGACTAGCCAGCTTGTTTATTTGTGATATTTAAATATAAAAAACAATGCTGCTGATATTTACGCTTTCAATACAATATTTAAATAATTACGATACAATAAAGTAATGCGTAATAATGATTCCGATATTGCAGATTACATTAAACAGAATAATGAACTAATGGCATTTTTAAAATTGTTTCATAAATAGTTTTCAAGATATTATTTTTACTAAAAACAAATTACGTTGAATACTATGTTTTATAATAAAAAATATGCTTTCTGCAATTTTGTCATTTTAGACTTTTTTTTTAATTACATACAGGAAAATTTTAAAGGTCTCGGAAAATAGTTACGATATAAATGTAGATTGTAAGAAACTAAAGTGTGAGATTTGATTCAAGAATAAACTTTAAAAGTAAGTGTAAATACCTAAGAAATTTTAGATATATTTTTTCAGAACACATTAAAACTTATTTGAAGAATATAACTAAATTTCTTATAAAACATAGCAGCTTCTTAATCATTATATTCAGAAGACATAACTGAAGGAAGAACAACACACGAGTCAAGTAAACTTAAAATATATAATGTCATTAGATAAATAGGTCTTGTAATCAAGTAAAACACGCTGACGCGTCGCCGCCGCGTTCCTACAGTAGTTCTATGAACCAACACTGCACCGCGTACATACAACACTAATTTACATTTTATTATTATGTGAACGTTTATTATAATATCATTGTTATTATTATTATTCAAAGATAAAAACGCAAGGTTCGAAGGGGAATCGAACGGAATATAAAACTAGTCGATTGGATACTCGGATTACAAGGACAAGATTATGTTGCCAAATTGCTCGACCGTCCAACGCGGTCTGATGACAAAATATTTGAATCGTTATTAAATCGACGTTAAAATAATATAAATAGCATACCGCTAATTTCGATTCCTATATTCGTATATGATTGCGACCGCTAGGCATGACGTCCGGCTCGCAGGACCGAAACTTTACTGAAGCGAAGGTTAATGACTGGTTCCGGTAGCGGAGTGTGATGTTTTTTCTTGTGTGTGGATGTTTAGAACAGCCTTGCGCGTCGTTTGAGCTCGTTGCGCCTCCACTGCGGCAGGCGGTAGAATTCCTGACGACCCACTTGCAAGATTGCCTCGAACTCCGCGTCGGAAAGGTGACGCTGAAATAGCCATAACAGATACATCAGATATAATACAGAGTAACATAATACATAATCCTTAAAATAATTTGTTTACGCCGTTAGTACACCGACGCAATCTTGCAAGTTATATGGCAATGATTCGCATGTGCTTTGTCTCAGTACGGTTTCGGAGTCAACTGTAAATAAGATCGTGACACAGACGCACGTTTCGGTTTCTGATGAATATACGAAATATCGGTGTACTAACGGCGTTAAAATCAGATACTGATTAGATTTCAACAATTTCTAATTTATACAATATTTTTGCTAAATTTATTTAGAATCAAGTAAATCATGGTCACCTGTACCCATTACAGTCATAACAATCAAAAAATAAACTTAAGACAATGAAATAAGGCTTTTTAAATGGTACTATATTAATTTTTAATACAAAATGCTTAAAAAATCCATACATTTTATATCAAAAATAGTTTGCAGAATAGCATAGAATGCCAAATTAATTAAATACTATATTCATTGCTTGTAATAAAAATCATCATAGGACAAAATAAAAACGAAACGTGAGCTTTCTTTTAATATGACTCTTAAACCAATTAATGCGTGAGAGTTTGGCACAATGTGGTGATGCTGTGGATTATGTTCGGCGTGTGATATGTGATTGTAGGTAGGGCTATGCTTAGCCGATACTTATAACAAGTAAGAATCATATTTATCGACCAAACTTAACAAGCACTTTATATCTCGAAACAGAATCGTATTTCTTAGTATTATTGGTAGGTATTATAATTATCGTGGTTGTAGTGGCGTAGTGGATAATCGCCGCGGAGATCGCTATTTTTAAGCAACTTTCGTAAGGGTCGATCACGGGATAGTTGACCAAAAAATTATTGTTTCGAGCTATTTTCTGCTGCAGTCATCAATACACTCGAATTCCTGAGCCCCTGCAGTGGGGCCTTAAAATGACTGATGATGAAGACGATGATATTATTGTGGTATAGGTACCGTAGTTGCATTGCATTGTATAATTCTGCATGACTGTTTATTTTTTTTTCAAGAATAATCCGACGATGAATCTACTCGGCCGCGGAAACACAAGTATATTCTTACCTCTAAATTGAGCCTGTCGACATCAGGCGGCAGACGGTAATTGGTGATGAGCAGCAGATGGTACGGGTACAATTTGGCGGGCTCGTGCAGTAGATGCGAGGTGGTCATGTTGGGCAGCGAGCGGCGAACGCCCCCTCCCCCTCCCCCCACCGAGCCCACGCCCATACCGCGCGGCGCCGCCCCCAGTGTGCTGCCCCCGCGTACCACAATACCGGCGTCAGTTGTCGTCTGTGTTGCACATAAAATAAATGCCTATATCACAAATGCCAGTATCAACATTAGCTGAGACAGGGTCCTAATTGGCCTTCATACGGTTATATAAATATGGTTATAGATATTAATCTCGTCAGTTATTGTCTGTTATTTGTTTTTTTTTTTTTGTTGTAATGTTCTGGTGTGAATGTCAATAAAAATATTATAATTCTATTCATTCTATATAGAGACTAAACTAAAGGAGAGGGCGGTCTACGGCTCCGTCCCCTCCCGATCCCAGGCCTCCGGTTCTGGGGGTCTCCGAATGGCTGCTCCGAACTCCAATTACATTAATTTATATTTACAACGAAGTTTTTTTTACAATAAAAGCCGCATGTTTCACATACATTAATTAACATTTTATGGCCGGCTTACATGTTAATCGAATTCTCATTCGATCAGTCCAATAGTTATTTTCGGAGAAAATTGCCAATGACAGGTACAAAGAGACATTCTTTTTGGTCAAGAACATTAAAAATTATCGTCGAGTTCCGTTATTGAACCCATGAGTTTATGAATAAAACAACTTTAAAAAAAATACCAGATACAAAATTTCTTTATTGTATTATACAATCGATCAAGTACAATTATACTTTTTAGAAAATAAATTAAACCACCGACTTTAATTCAAATCAATGACTTACCACAGCACTCCTATCGACGTCAGTAATCGAGCCGGCAGATACTGAAACAGAAACCAAATCGCTTTTTAGTTTAAAAAAATATTTACATGATTTCATTTTTGTACATAAGTAGTTACATACCTACGTTCTTAGTTATCTTAACATAAAATGGATACTAAAGAAATAATTTATTGATATTTTGATAAACAGTTATTTGCAGGCGTTCAATTTTCTAAGCAGCGTTGAATACAGTGCCGAAAGCATAATTATAAAACAAACGTGAACATTGTACGTCTTTCATGAAAAATTGGGTAATTTAAATATTACGATTGGTAACAGCTATATGAAAAAAATGGCAATTATGACTATATTAACGTAGCATACATAAATTTAAAAGAAGTCGGAGCGACACAAATTATATTGGTAGGTAGTTTTCCAAGACCCATAACAAAAAAGGCTGAATCTTAACTATCAAAAATACAAATGGATAAAAACATAAAAATGCGTTAAATAAAGCTGTATTCGTAGGTTGTAGTCTACATAATGTTTGACAGAACCGTATAACAAAAACTATTTCAAAAGGGGAAAATATATAAAAATCTACAAGTCTAATGTATTTTCTGATCTGAATGCTAAGCGTGTTGAGTGGGGCAGTGTCGCAGCGATCGCTTGCGCTTATGAATTGACAATTATTGATTGACTTTAAATCAACTACATAATGGATTGTAGTAGAAACTTGTCACAACTATTTGTGCGAACATAATTAAATAACAAAAAAAATACAATTCTAATAACATGCCGATGATTAATTAATTAGGTATATTATTGGTGTTAAATAAATCTGTTTCAAATATACCAGTATAGCTATAATTTTTGTATTTTTATTTTTCATTTTGATGACAAATAAATTGGCTATAAGGATTGAGATTGAAAACCTTATATGCAAGTACGATTTTGTTTTTTTTTTTAACACGGCGTCCCTCAATTTCAATAAATACATCTGAAATCATAGTTATTTTGTAGAGGTAAAACAGGTTTGTGTTAACAGCACGAAATAGTTGTCACAAGAAAAGTAACATAGTCCATTTGCTTATAAAAAGTAATATACGTTTATGTACAGAGCGGGTAAGCGAAGCGCGCGATACTTACTGCACAGATCCGTCCGCACTGCGCGCGCGCACAAACCAATACACACACTCGCTTAGGATATCATTATATTTGCCTACAAACGCATTGGACATAATATAGGGCACTGATAGTTAGGCTTTCTTTACTTTATGTTATCTATGTTGGTTTGTTGTAAATTCTTTCATCTACGGGAAGCTAAATCTTACGCTGGTTAAGTCGCAAAACAGCTAGTTATGTATAAATTCCTGATAACACAAATACATTAATCGGATGCATTAATACATTAATCGGATTTTGAATTAAAAAAACGTGAAAATGAAAGACTTATTCATATAATTTACTTAGCTTTTTAAACTTATTAATACCAAAATAACTAATGACTGAATGCCGAATTTTTTATCCTCTTAAAATTAGACCAAGAGAAAAAGTATGTAGATTAGACAAATATTCATAATAGTATTTTATATATGGTTAAAAACTCAAAGATTAAATTCAGGTAGTACTTAGGTACTCATGTTCTTCAAGTATTTTATAAAATAATATTAGGTAATTCAATGTGGGTATCGACTAGTAAAATATATGTATACATACATATACATATATATATATATATATATATATATATATATATATATATATATATATATATATATATATATATATATATATATATATATATATATATATTAGGTCCTTACATATGAAATTGGCGTTTTGTCGAGTAGTACGAGTTCCACCGTGGTACCACTGCTGCGTAAACGGCTCGAAGGGTTAATGATGTACTCCCCGGACCTTGCTCCAACAGATTACCATTTTTTTAGAAATTTGGACTTCTTGCAAGGGAACTATTCAACTCCGATGGAGCAGTGCAAATCGCCTTCAAAGATTTTATTGATTCCCGTCCGAATGGTTTTTATTACTAAGGGGATCAATGAACTACCTATGAGATGGCAAAAGTGCATATATAACAATGGTTTATGCTTTGATTGATAAATACTATATTATAAAAATATTCGCCTTCTTTTTTTCCTCCCATACTAAACATCAATTTCATATGTAAGGACCTAGTATATATTTATTTTGTAAAATACGATTTAACACGTCTTTATTGGTGATGGAATGATACTCACTATCAGATTTGCCGCTGCTGAAATCTGTGCTGTGTGTCTTGTCGCCCATGCCGCTGAATGTGAAGTCACCCTAAAATGTTCCAGTTCCAGCTTACACTTACAATCTTACTTAAGTTACATACGACACCAGGATAAAATAACACCATAGGTATATTGAAAATATATGGATACGTCTAAGTCATCTTTCTTGCCTAAATAGGTAGACGCTAACACCAAAAGAAAAACATGGTGTATGTATTTGAAAAGACGACTATCACGATGATTTGATTTGGTTTATATTCTATCTTCTACATATATATGAATCCCTATTTCCGTTGGTCACTCCATTACACGTTAAAGGCTGGATCGATTTCGCTAATTATATTTGAAATTGAATAAAAAAATTGTTAACATGAATGCAAAAAAAAATTTTTGGATTTTTTTTCAAAATTTAAGAATATTCAGCCAACATATAAAATTTCGAATCTAACCTTAGTGCTTTGGATAATATAAACTTTTTTAATGTAACCTCATGACGTTTGACATAGAATTGACACAATGCGTGCTGCAAATATGGTTATGAAAAACTTTTCGAATTCAATATTCATAATTAAGACAGGACAGCACCTGTCGGGTCAGCTAGTTGTTTATTTATTGCCGTCTTTATGATAGCAAACATTATTAGACCAAGTAAATAAATTTATTTTAAGCTAATCTAGTAATACTCACAGCGGTGCTCGAGGAGAAGGTGTGTGATCTGTTGGAAAGTCCGTAGCCGGGACGAGGAGCTGACCTCAGCGATGATACCACTGCAAAACCACGCTCTCACAACTCACACCATACCCACCACACTCATAACCAGCGGGCAGTCACCCGCTCGAAGGACCAACGAGCGAAATAAAGCAACTTAACCTACGCTTATTCTAATTCAGGACGTGCAGAGATGTCTTTCAAAAATCTGTTTCGTTTAATCCTACGTTTAAGAATATCTCACCGTGATCTCTTCATCACGCAGTTTCATTGATCGAAGTGAGATAGTAAGTATTATATACGCGTATAGCTTTGTCACACTTCAACAACTTCAACGACATTTACACCGTATTGAAGAGCACAGGTATGACTTATCGAATAAATAGTGTATGGATATAGTCCATACAATATTTGATGATAAATCTGGGAGATCTAATAGCCCGTGTTGATTGGCATAATTGCACCAATTTTATTTCATCAAAATTTAATAAACAAACGCAGCGTTGAATGTTTCATTCATTGCAATGCCAATAGTGTTCGAATGGATCTACATGTCACTTTTTAGACGATAAGAAATTTTTAAATATTCCAAAAGTACAGCAATAGAAATAATTTGAAAGACATATCTTCATGTACCCGAACCGTACCTGGATTGGCGCGGTGAATGTGTAGTTATTATTGATGCACTTACGTTGTGTCGATGCGCGGGCGGTAGAGTACACGAGCGGGCCCCGCCCCCTCCCCCTCCCACCCATGCTGTCACACACACATACACAAAACCATAACACACACGTACTATAAAAACACGTATGAACCGCGGGATCACTTTCATTAATACGATTATTATCTGGACAGAATGTATTGTTAAGTTTTTATACGTACAATGTCATCTCATCAGCCCTTATATGCCTCCACCATTAGGGGCTCAGGCCATCGTTATGGGTAAGGACGATGGGCCATAGTCCTCCACGTTGGCCCAATGTGGATTGGAGGGTATTAACGACTGTATTGACGACGACTTATGGTGCCTTCCAAAGCATGAAGTAGCTTGAGATTATAATCTTTTAGTCACCCATCCCGTGATCGACCCTTGCGAAAGTTGCTTAACGACAACGATCTCGGGCCGCGGCGCTTATATATGAAATTATTTGCTTACAATTTCTCTCTTATTTTTTTCATGAAACTTCATAAAACGGAGGATCCCGCGGTTCCATCGTGTATTATAATGCCTATATTACACGAATAATACCGCCAAAATTAAAACATAACACTCCATTTTGACCGTATTCCACGTGATCAAGTCCACACAATTTAAATGATAGCTATATAGATAAACGATTATATGAAATCAAACAAAAATAACAAATATTGTGTGATACGTGCTGTAATTAAAGATCATGTTACAGCGGCAACGAAAATAAATGTAATATAACATATAACTATAGAACATAGGAAATACAAAATGAAATATATTTTTATAGATACACGTCATTATTAAATTATTAGTAATATGTACGATATTTATAATCTATAAATGCAAACTAAAATGTAATCCTGATTAACAATTATATTTCGTAGCCTTTGTTCTTCATTACAAAATACAGAAAACTTTATAATTTGTCTTATTGTAATAACAATAAAGTGTAAAATAAGTTTCAGCACCTATCACACTCGGTGGGAATAAGACCCTTCTTAGACAAGCCTACGCAAATAGCTTTTAGTCTCTTCTCGGCTAGAGCAATACTAATCATACAAGATTCCCACATATTGTCGCGTGGTCGACATTTTGTTCATGCAACGTCTACTCCCAACCAGACAGATCTTGCGATTGACATCGCCGGAACTAGAGCCGTCACGATTTTGACATTCACTTTAGTTGTGTTTTAATACATATTGTAGTGGTAACCGTTATCATTCTTAAACGCAACATTCATCAATCTTTTTATAAATGATACAACATATTAAAATTATATTATGTATATAATTTATAATTAATCAATCTTCTTGTAATCTCCTTGTAATCTTTGAATTCTTCTTGTAATCTCCAATCAAGAATGAAGAAATATAATAGCTAGTCAGGATTATATATTGCCTATTTCTGAGATAAAATTAGAAGATGGTGAAACATGCAGGTTGGTTATAGTTCGTTAACACAAAGTTAGGAGAAGTAGTGATAAAGCTATATTAGTGTAAATAGGTAAATATATTTATCTTATAGAAAAATACTTAAAAATGTTAAGTTAAAGGATCGTTATTACATTTTTTGTTATTTGAAACCATCAATGTTCACGTAATCTACTTAAACGATCCAAAGGAAATATTTTTACAAATATTCAGATGAAAATACATATCTATAAGACAAATATAAATATTGTGAATATATTTATCAAATAAAACATTAATATAATAATATCTGCACATGCGATATTATAAATAAGCTTTAAGCACCAAAAGACACATTACATAACATTGAAAACTTGTCAATTTACAAGATATCGCATTCTATTATCCTGAAATCATGACCTGATAACATCTATAAACCGATTGCTTCTATTTTATAGCAGCAACCTTTTGAAGTTACTGTACAGTTTCACCGGTTTGACTGGTAGAGAATGCCTTTTTGGCATTAAGTTCGCCATCTACTACTTATAGGTTATCTTATAGGTTAAAAAGATTGAATAAATAAATAATACCTGTGATTTTACTAATCGTCAAATATATAAGTAAATTTTAATCTTTAACATGTACATCAAATGTAAAGAGAATATTACGAAATACTATACAAGAATTTAAAATTCATCGCCAAATTAATAATTATTTCTTTCAATTGAATCTTTAAAGAATCTGTAGGTACCTGTAAATTTGCCAATTGACGAAGAAAATTTTCTTGGTATATCAATCATAAAAAAATTTTATCTTACGTCAAACTTTGTGACACTATCAAATAGTAAAAAGGACTGCATGGCAAATTTCTAGGATTACGATGCAAAAATATACGCGTTAGAATGGAAAAGAAAGAGATAGAACAGACTGTTGCACTTGTATTCGGTACTGAATTTGTAGCAAGCTACGCGGTCATGCTGTAAGCGATGTTACGAATATGTGCCACTTACCACCGCCCGCGTCCGTACATTCACCGCACCCGTACCGATACGTACTTACTTGCTCAACACATAAACGAAACACTACGTGTTTTTTGTTACACTTTAAATAAACGTTGACGGGAAATGATGCAAGTTATTTTTGTCACTTCAATATATTCTAGTCGATAAAGAAAATTAAAAAAGTACGATCGCAAATTACGTTATATATATATTTTATTATAGCTGTGTAAAAAGAAAAATTTGTACTGTATTTTGTTTTTTGGCACAGTTTAAGTATTTTAGTGTTAACTGTCAAGTGTTGAGCAAGTTTTGTGATCGAAAAGACGAGATAGCCCATTATGCGTCTTATTGTAATCATACATTTTTCATATCAAATGAATCGTATAAAACCAAAACGCAAAAATTAACGCAGAAAATTTTCATAAGAAAACAATAAATTAAGCAAAAATGTATGATCCGACAAGAAATGCACAAGAAAATCGCTCGTTAGTACAAGTTAATCAATAGTTAATGATACGAGATGAAAAACAAAGCGTAGACGATGTCGATATACGGCTAAAATACTACACTAACAGCAGATCAGGTTTACCAAAACTGTATTATTTTTTATTTTAAATTTAAACACGTTGCATTTGAATTAAAAAATATGAAATACTGTAAGCCTGTGCTGCATACACGCAAATGAATTAAAGCGGAATTGCATATTTTTCCTTATATAATAAGTATGTACTGTAACACGCAATCAAATCATCTAGGCTCTGCTCTTCCATAAAATATGATCAATATAATATTCCCCATGAGTTTATTGCTATCCGATAATTTGAGTGGATATCAAATTGAGAAATAATCTAATGTGTATAAACTTTTAACTTGAGTGGGACAGTATATCGCACGTTGAGAACGATAGTGACACAATGCAAAAAATGCGATTTTGAGTAATGAGCGTTTAAAGTTCAAGAAATTGTAGTCAGCCCCTCTAAACAACGTATCGTCACTACGCCACCTAGCAATTTCTATGCAAGCTACGTTCACAGGGATCTTTGCATTTCAAAGTTTATAGGTAACAAAGAAAAATGTTGCCAAAAGTAAAAAATACGTCGTTTTTGGTAAGTGACATTGTCATTCTCAAAGTGCGATATGTGAAATTAAGTTACTTCGTTTGTTTTATTATGCAATAGATACATATTTTTATTTTGAAATGTAAATTCATTAAGGAAAACAATATGATTCAATTTCTTTATTCACATTCGTGAATATAAGACAGTAACCTAAAAATTTGTATTTTTAATTTAAGTTGTTAATTAGACATTAATAATGTTTCCAAATTGAATATGTGAAAGACTAAATAAACATTTTCAAATTTAAAAAAATATTATTACTTTGGAAACATTTTGGGAATGAAAAATAAAATACTTTATATTTTTATAAAAAAATAAAGTATTATATAGTTCAATAATATATAATATAATAGTAGTGGTCGCTGTGTATTTATTCTACGTTTGATGAAAAATAGACCGAGACTATTTTTCAGTGGTGAGTTAGTAAATGTTCATCAGTTTAAGTTTTAAAAAGAGTTGAGGCTCATAATATATTTTACTATGGATGAATAATAACAACAGCAATACCATTTTATTAATATCATTCATGTGTGACCATTTAAAATTATAAATAAATTGTGTAACTAAAGTTCTGCACAATCTGTTCTTATAACAGCATAATTTTTTTATGAAATTATTTTGAAACTACAAAACGTAGCTTTTTTGACAAATTGGTTCTATTTAAACGGTCACTATGGTGTATACTGGGATAATGTTACAACAGAAATATCAAATTGCTAATCAATTTTACGAATGATTAAGTGGGTAGTGAAAGGTATACACGACGACGTATAGAGGCACAAGTTATGAGCACTGACCTTAAATACGTAGATAGTTTATTTTAATAATAGTAAATAAACTTTACGGTCACGTGACAACGAATAAAAAATATTAGTTATTTCATAATTAATTTAAGCAATATTATAAATATAATAAACATAAAAGTGTGATTATCGGTAATACTATATTAAACACTACCAAAAAAAATAATATGTATTTATTTTCGTTTACTGTCTACACCCGCATTTGATAATTTTCCCTCATCCATCAAAATATATCGTAAATTGTATTGAGCCATTCTAAATTCGCAACATATCTTCTGTTTCTGATCAGTGCTCATCGCTCACTTCACGTGACTTGTGAACGCATTAACTCACCGTTGTACGTTGGCACATGCGCGTGCGAGAGCGTATGCGCATGATGGTGGCGGGGATGATCGAGCGAGCGAGAGGGAGACGCGCCAACCGGGGAAGAGTAACGGAGACGAGAGCCCGCCTCACGGGCCGCACTTGGCGTTCTACGTGTATAAAAAGAGAAAGTGAGAGAATAAAAAATTGCACTACATGCACTACAGATGCTTTCATAGCCTTCTTGGACTTTATAACATGCACACAGACGTTCTCAATTAGAGGTGGTTACACTCTATGATCTGTGTCACAATCAATATGACCTATCCCATTGATTAATAAAATACATTATGGAGTTCCTACCAGTGCTTATTGCCTTATCCCTATAGCTTATTCACAACAAATTGATTTCGAACCAATGCTGGTAAATGATCACTAATGTATGGTCTAGCAGAAAATTACAACTCAAACACAATTGATATGGCAGTTACGAGACCTGGTATATTGAAAAAAATGCCTTTACGATTTATTAAAAAGTAATCAATAATTTGTAGCACGTGACATCTTTAATATTTATTACTTACATTTTGTTTAAGTACATGCCTAAAGAAATCCTCCCATTTAGATATACTACTCTCTATTTTTTTTCTGTGGTAAACATAGTTGGTGTCAAATTTATGTATACATTGTTATTTTATGCTACATATGTATACTCACTATTTGATTATTCTAATAAATAAAAAAGAGAGGAATATTGTTGAATATTTATTTATGTCACGCGAGCCAAATACAAATAGGACTCTCAAACAGCCCTCTCGGTTCGTATTGCGCTTTAACTTAGGGTGTGCAAAAAAGATTTTTATAAATAAACGCATCATCGTGGTTTGTGTTAATTTGGGACAAAAATCATCAATTTCAAATCTACTAATAGAAACACGAAGAGATCAATTCAGAAAAAATATTGTATTCATTTTTGGTAAAATCTGTCAATACTGATAATTAAAATCCAATAATTCAATATAAATATTGTTATATTAAATTATTATAATAAATATATATACGTTAAATGAATAAAAAAAAAAAATTTGACGAGCTTTATTTTCTTTGCTGTCCGTACTAAAATCGCAGCGATGCCATGTCATCATGTCATGAATGATACTATTCTTATTTGACTCGCATAATACAGGAATCATTTCGATGAGTAAAGAAGAAGAGTGCCTGCTTCAGGAATCGCACTTGTCAAATATTAGATTGGTCGCAGCATTCAATAAGGACTTTATTCAACAATATACTTAATTGCGAATATATAAAGTAATTATGTCACAAATTATATACATTTTCTAGCTTTTTGATGATAATCTTTCAGAGCGCCAAGGCAAATGGTATAATCCAATATACACGATTTCGAAATCCTAATAGTAAAAAGTGATACTGTTTCTAATTCTTTGATATACTCCTCAATTCTGGTATCGAATCTCTATGATTTTTCTCTATGGTTTTATTTGGCTAAAATAATTTTTATCCAGCGATTGTAAGTCTGGAGAATATGAACATGAAAACAAATAAAAATTAAGCTATTGGATCATTTGCTCTTTACCTGCTTGCGTTTCTTGGATCTAAATTTTGCTTTTTCCATTGTTGAAGTTTTTCTCTTTCTTTCACTTCTTTTAAAAATACCTGCAAAATATTAGAACTATAACTAAATTATAATTACACCTGGGGCTTGAAGTGATCGTCATAATGGTAAAAAATCATAACTTACATTTTTATTCTATATCAATTTAGTCACTACATCATTTTGTACATATACATTACTTTTAAACTTTCATGTGCTTATATCTGTTAACCAGAACAATCAGTCACGTGACATTTTGAACAGTGCGTGACACTACAATTCAAGAAACATGAGTACTGGGACTAGAAGTCGCAAAAAATACATTACGTTAAGTTACCACCGAGAAAAGTAATAATAATAGTAAAAAAGTTTATATTAATATTCAGTTTGTTAATTTATGGCATGAATTTTGTAAAAGATCAAATTCTTAGTAAATATTGAGGTATATATAAAAATATGAAAAATATAACAGTAATAACGCGATAATAGTTGGATAGAACTTTTTTATACATAACCAAAAGTAATAATGAAATAAGAGACAATAGATATATATTTTGTTTACTCATTGTGAAAATCATAATATAAGTTGCTATTTTAGTCAAACATAACAACAAAATTTAAATATAACAATCGAAAACAACAAAAATTATACGCGATATCAACACAACCCAACTCAATAAGTGTACTCGTCAATCAGTGTTTATTTGTTAACGGTACTGATTGTTGAACGCAATTACGTCATCTAAATGGGGACTAGGACCATTAGCAATTTGCGGGGATTATACCTGCGCGATGCCAGTATCGATCTTGGCTAACTCTTGTTCCTCTCTGCGCAGCTTGTGATCGAGCCCGTTCCCGTTGCCGTTCACTCGTTCACCGTCCGGTTCAGAGTCGCTGTCCGGCACACCCTTGTACGTGTCCGACCAACGCCGGCGTCGTTCTACAATACATACATTCACTCAAGAAGGTTATGGGGGTGGGGGTGATGTACTCGCCCTTAGACAGGTCCAGGATCTAGGTGGACTACTAATTGAAATTATTAAACATAATGTTTATATATTTTTTATCACAATATAGACTTTACTAAGTACTTTCAGTATTTAATTAATTTAATACAATTGGAGTAAGTAGATGAAGTGATAACGCGTTTTGGGAGAATACGTAAAGTAGATTGATTTTTTATTTAAATATCAATCTACTTTTACGGTAGGTATTTTTTAGTACAACCTACGTCCATATTAATATTATAAATCGGAAAGATTGGATTGTTTGTATGTTTGCATTGAATATGCTCAGAAACTACTGGACCGTTTTAAAAAATTTCTTTCACCTACGGGTCGCTACATCAGACGAGGTTGAGATTGGCTATAGTTTACGCATGCGATGTGGCGGGAAAACATCTAGTTTATTAATAAAATTCCTACTTTTTACTTGTATCTATTATCATTCACTCTTTTATTATAAAGGTCTTGTGTTTCAGCAGTGAGAGCTTTTATAGGCTGATGATCATGATATTTTTAGAGTTCCGTGCCCAAAACGGGACCGTAGACTCCGCTGTCCGTCCCTTTGTTCATCTGTGACTAAGTTGTATCCATAGTTACAGATGATGTATTTGCCGCTATAATAACGAACGCTAAAACTGAATAAAGTAAATATTTAAAGCGACTCCAATACTAAGAAACTCGTGTTTTTGCATTTTTTGTAGAAATTGGTAGGTACGTAAAGTTATGCTCGAAACGTTATTGTGAATCGCACTTGGCCGGATTTTACGATAATGTGAACTTCAGATATATTCGTACACAATATGAAAACTTGAGATGATTATGGGGTTTGCTGAAAGAAAAGTATCGCGTTCTGGATGAGCTTAATATTTTTAACAACCAGTTTAAAATCGAATATAGTTATTAAGCGGTTATGACCGTTCAATTTATCATTGTATATCAAGAAATATATTTTCTGGGATAATACTTTAGTTTTAGTGTAACATTAGATAATAAAATCATACCAACCAGGATCAGTATAAGGATATGGCGGGGCGGGAAAATCATCCCTCTCTATCTTGGGCTGCGTACCAGGAGGCGGCTTATACGCCGACGGATAGTGCGACAACTCTATCGGCTCCTGCGGAACATCATATTCTCTAATTATTAAAGATATAGTACATACGTCTCAAAGTGCAAAATTGTGAAGAAGTTAGAATATATTGAATGTAGCTAACGGTCCGCGATTTTCATCTTATTATTTATAATAGAGATAGACAGCAAAAAAAACTGCTACGAGAGTATATATTTATAGACAATATACTCCAAAATGTTATTTTTGTGTAATCATACGCTATCAAAGTCGTAAAGTGAGATGTTTCCTACCAACTTTGATGAATTACATCGCGGGGATGGACCGCTTTTAAAAACTGACCGTAAAGAGTCAACTGAAGTTGAAGCGCAAGTTTCGTTCCTTCTTAGGAAATTTAAAATATATAAAATAAATCCAAAAAGAAATTTACCAATTTTATTTTCTTTGCTGTCAGAACTAAAATGACTGCTAAGCCGTGTAATTGATAGCTAACCCGATCTTATTCTTATTTGACTTACATAGTAGGATTTATTACGGCAAGAGTGATTTCTGCCTTAACAGTGAAGACAAAAATAATTAACTGTTGACAATGAAACATGCAGTTAAGCAATTTTGAAAAATATGAAATTTTGAATAACGCAATATGCTCTTTATGTGAATGTCAATATCAGTACATAAAAATTCTTCTGCCAGTACCGACATAACATGATATGATTAAAATGACACAATAAAAAAATATATATTTAAAATATTAAAAAGTACTACAAAAGAAAACACAAAAAGGATTATGTAATTGTTTTATTAAAGTACCAACAAACCATTATATTTTTTGAAATCCATAAAAACTCTTTTTATATTCCTTTTTTGTTGTTAATTTTTTTTTTTATTTACACCATAAATATACCTATTTATCAATACTAGTCAGTTCATTCACCAACCAACACCTAAATTTCGAACCCGTCACAGTACTTACCTCGTTGTTCATATGCGGAGACTTTGGTCTGGGCGCATCGTTACACATGGAGTCTACGAGCACGCGCATGCCTGGACGAGAGGATGCCTTGCTGCCCGCGCGGGACGAAGCACGAGTAGAACTGGACGCTATATACATAACAATAGTTCTTATGTAATTTAATGTCATATTATTTATAATTATGCATTAGTTAGTTGGACGTTCAAAAAATTATCAAGCTTTTCAATTAAGCATTCGAATACGAAAAAGAAAATTATTCTGCTACTAATTAATCATATATGGTGTCTGAACTATTGTTTCTCTATTCAACTTTTTTTATTATGCTTATATTGAATTGACGCTATAGATTTAGGTCTTACATAGTAGGAAAAGTCATATAAAAGTCATGTAACATATGTGATCAACAGATGTAACTGTAGTATAAGAAGTAGGTAAATATTACAATTATAAAATTTTTAAAACTTCTACGAAACCCACAGTTAGTTGTTACAGTTTGACATATAAAACTTTATCTGTGGAGGAACCGACTTAAAGAGCTTAGAAACAGATACGTATAGGCAGGTTGTAGTAATAACTTTATAAGCATGATGCGGCCGTCTTCAACAGAATTTTGCAATTTAGTATATTTTACTGGTGTCACCTTGAATGTAAGATTTATTGTAATTTTTCACTGGTGGTCCAAATAAATAAATAACGGGGGCACGTACATGGCGGGCGATGGAAGTGCGGTGAGGCGGGGGGCGCGGGCTGCAGGGGCCGCCGCAAGGGGGCAGGCTCCGCCGCTAGATAGCTGTATGCAGTAATCCGGTGTGGGGACCAGCCCCCATCGGAGCCCCGGCACCCGCGCATCCCTAGACCCGTGCCCGGTGATGCCGCACGTGACCCATACTGCGCAACATAACGCGTCACTACCGCTTATAACACCGACGGAATAGAGGTGAAGACAACTTTTTTTAATGTTTTTGTTTTATAGATATACATTAATATATCTAAAAAAATATTTAAAAGTCATTCATATAATAAGAAAAATAAATTTAACTTTCATAATTTCCCGCGAAAACGTCACTTTTGTCATCTATCAGGAGTCGCTATGACGTCACGGCCCTCTGAAACTAATATTGAGTATGAAGGGCAAGACGTCACGCGCTGCTTTCTGTCACTTAATTAATTTAAGCAATATTATAAATACATTAAGGATAGAAGTATGATTATCTGTAATAGTATATTAAACAGTACCACAAATAATAAAAAAATGTTTACTGCCTTCACCTGTATCATATACATTTCTTTATTTCTACATCTTTTTTTGGACGTAAATGACATAAGCGGCATTTTAGCCAAAATTACAGAAATCTTTAAAAAAATAAACTCTTTCAAGTTCTGAAACTAGTTAGGTTGGATTTGAAACGGCGATATTTCATTAACCTAATGAATGCTTTTTCAACTGAGCTCAGTGGCTTAGCTCAGTAACTAAAGACTTTTAAATATCTCATTTATTTTTTATTTATTTTTTTTATTTATATTTATTTTTTCAAAATGGTGGCAGCCAAATTAATGGTTTAAAGCTATTTAATAGTTGAAAATAAATGTATCGGATCATATGAAACAGTTTGTCTACTTGGTAAAAGATCAACATGAATTAAAAAATTTCTAGTAATGTATTTTATAATTTCACATATGTAATCTGTATTTTGTATTATCAATTTATCATATATAACAAATTTTCGACAACAATGTTATGTAGATGAATGAGTGAAAAATTCATATTGTAAATCTTTCGACAGTTATGTGATGAACTCAAACTACTTATTTGTAAATTTAATCTACAACCTCAAATCTACGATACTACAAACGGTAAATAAATAACAAATATACATATATTGCATAAAGGTCCAGTGTTTTCAGATATCACTTATAGTATCGTTATATTTAAGGTTCACAGTGATAGTGCTGTGTGTATTAGTTAGTCAACACATTCACATGCTCAGTGCTCACAGTCGAGAAGGTCGACAACAAAAATAATAAAATAAATTAACAAAAATAAAACAAAAATAAATAAACTTGTAAATGTGTCAACTGAAAATTTTAGTGCCAATGAATAAGTCCCAAGTTTAACAAAACAAAAAGAAATAACATTTAAAGAATAAAGAAAGGAAAATAATAAAATTAATAATTCACAAACTTTTAAATAACACATGAAATTTATGAAGTATTTTATCATAACTAAATATCTAGAAAACACAAAATATACGATTTACATCGAGAGCATGTCAGTCAATATCTTCCAGTCGTTATTATTATTTAATTTGCCAAAAGAACTCATAGAAACTGATAAATATAATTAACAAAGTCTAATTTGTTTATCGTGTAAAGAATTATTTTTTCTTTTCGATATGATAAGGGCCTTGTTCACGGGCATCATATAGTCATTATTATTCTATATCGAGGTATAACGGACCTTCCTGTTGAGGCTACTGTATGGGCTGCAGTACGAGCCGTTGACGCTGGGCGTTCGCGAGCGCAGCGAAAACTGTCACATAAAACCACGCTGTCAGTGAAGACCCGTCCTTATGGCTAGCGAGGAGCGGGAGGGATGAAGGGGGCAGAGAATGGTCATCTCTCTTTAACATTAAACATATGACGATGAAATAAGCTCTGTAATTGCAAATGTACAACATGGACGAATAACACTCCTTGGAGTAGATATTCGAAAATTCGCAAATAATTTAGACGTTAATAAGATTGTTATCAATTGTCAGCCTTATCATCTTTATACAGAGCAGGATACACGACACAAGACCATCTAACAGAGCTGAATGAATAGAATGAAGAGCTGAATTTAAAGTCTCAATCGCAATATAACGACTAGTTCTTAGATAAGAACGAAAGGAATAGGAAGGGACAGGTCCTCACTATGAGTACTGCAACTTTTGCAAATTAGTTAATTAAATGAACATGACGATATCTACGTGGAACGCAGACAGTCGCTTACATCAGGGCAACTTGCATATAACATCTAGTCAAATAATGACATTACATCATCGTAAGAACAAAAATAAAAAAAAAACAACAACAAAATATAAATTACGTCGTTTATAATTGTCAAGTGGCAGTCACATGCAAGAACAGGTGAGCAGAATATCTGAACAAAAAATTTACTTGCGATATCGAAATACTCGTATTTAAAAAAAACTAAAAAAGCTTACAAAGCTATTTTTTGTAGATTATAAAATATATAAGAAATCGTCTTAAGCTTATATTTTACTAGCTGCAAGTTGTGGCAACTTCGCTCGCGTAAATTATAGCTAATTACACCTGCGTATGTAGCTTGCAGTAGGTGAAAGAATTTTTAAAATCGGTCCAGTGGTTTCGGAGCCTTTGAATGCAAACAAACAAAAAAATAAGTATTGATGTAATATTAAGACGAATTTACTGAAAATCTTTACTATAAATTATCTGTGAAAATAAACAAGGAATTTAAAATGCACTATAAGAGAGCTCATCATTGCTCATCTCATCTCAACATTTACCTTCGGTAAGCGCGCCCGCCGAACGGAGGAACCGAAAGAATCGATTTTCAAAATATCAAAACTCGCACACTTGCCCGCACTGATTTGAATTATGTATTCAGGAGGGGGAACAAATATATATGTAATAAGCAGATACAAACTCTATAGTATTTATTAATGATGCAAGCAAGGCCTAAAGAAACATCACTTCATTCCCTGCTGTAGATCGGCACGGATAAGTTTGCGACCACTATTAATTACATCTATTCAGGTACATAAACAGCTAGTGATGAGAAACGATTGTTGGTGAAGTGCAGTCTACCAAACTGTGCACTAGATACATCACTACAAACATTCTACTTAGCTATTTATTAATGGGATTGTATTTCATGTGTGGATTCGTAAGGACAATCGCTAGTATTTTTGTCTCTTGATATTACAATTAGTATTTGTATGTACTCAAGCAATTTGTGTAATAAATCGAATAAACCCGACAACCCTATCTTTCTGTTTATGTTATAGATACAAAAAGAAAGAGAGGTAACCTCTTCACAAAGAAGCCTGCTTTTTTTAAATTGAAATAAAGACTAAAATATATTATCGAATATATTATTCCAAAGTTCTTTGCGATAACATACCTGGAGCTCTGAGCAGGGCCGGTCTAAGTCGCAAGGGTCGTGAGGCGCGGGGCCGCATCGAGGATGCCATATGGCGGCACCCTGCAGGAACATCTCCTCTCCGTCACCGAAAGGGTCTCCACACTTGCTGCAACGCGCGCATGTCGGATGGAAGTGATGGTTCTCACCCGCCTTCAAAATGCAAACGTATGAAATGAAATATTAACTGTGGCATACTATCTATCTTTGAAACAAACCATAGTATAAATGTCAATGAACTGTATCGCATCGCGTTTGGTGAATATATGAAGTTTTCATGGCAAACCATACTCTTTGGACAAACAGTCATTTCGCTATTTAAAGCGGGAAAAAAACCGATGCAATTTTCCGCGAGTTGAGTTTTCCTGTAAGCCATAACTTCGTCTATTACACAATACAGCGGTACAAAGAGACAAGTTTAAATTTGTAGCTTTCACTCCACAACAAAGTTACAGGTGGTCAAAATGGACCGAACGGGTCCCTGTTTCGAAAAAAGGATGGCACGGCCGTGCCATTTTCACTTTTTTGCTCGACTTGGCATTTCAATAATTATTGAGTAGCTTTCAGAAAACCATATCTTACACCGCTTTTCACAATGCCAATCAAACGTTTTGCAAATGTTGAAACATGTGTATTATATTAAATACACTATAAGTAGTATACAATAATACAATGCAGATTAATATATGTATTATAATCGCCGGCATCTTGATATGTGTAAGCGGTATGTCGTCTGATCAAAAATTGGATATACGCGGCGTGAATCTGCCCTCTGACTCACAACGAACTGCACTAATGTGCATTATGAATTTATTTTATAAACATATTCATGTATGTTGAACATTGACCACAAACCGAACACCAACAAACACTACGGAAATTAGTCACTGACTGCGATTTATGTACACCTCAATATTTCTAGCTCAATGGATATTTCTTAACAGAGCATTTTCCCGATTTGCGAAAGGTTATGGGTGCGAATCTTCCCATCACAGGCCTGGCAAAAGATTTAATTCATTTCTCTTAAATAAACTTATAAAAACAGTGCATAATTGGCAAAATTAATTTTATTCGTGTCAGCACTTGTAACATAGTCCTTTCAAAAAATTATATAAAGAAATAAAACAAACATCTTTAAAAATATTTTTTTAAGGTTTAGGTATACGGGCCAAAATACTTTTTTATGCCTAAAAACCTGTCCCTTTGAACTAATGTTGAATTTTACGGTAAAACACTACAAAAGTGTAAAATAGGTATGCTAATTTCAAAATATTACATTATTGTTTAATACAGAACAAAAGATTTGAGTAGTAAAAATACATCATTATAACAAAAAATATAGTAACAATGTTGTCATTCTTAGTAACGCATTTGTTCTTCATACAAAATACAGTTGTCCTTGAGCACATGTCTCAAGCTTCTCTGGATTTTTTTCCACAATATTTCCTAGGTGGCGATTCATAATGAATTCCGCTTTAAAAATTTAAGCCCTAAACCTTATTTATAATGCCAATAAATATTTTTTACATCAAAAAATTATTGGAGTAAAAAATTATTTTGACTGTGTCCCTAACAAATACAAAAATCGTAACTACCTTGCGTTGCTATATGAAAATAAACCTTTAAGTGAGTGTATCACCCTTTTTTGCACCTTATTCGGCTTTACATATTGTAACTCGTATAACGAACGATGGCAACCGCGGGGGAAGAGGACGCTCGTCAGATCAGTCGCGTCGGAGTCGTCGGGAGAGGTGCGTGTATTTATTGCGTGGCCACTGAGTTACCACTGTCGAAAGGTACGTATTGACAATATTTACATAATATTTCTTTTATATGTAGTTTATCATGTATTGGATCTGTCAGTGTTAGAATATTTGCACTTTGTTATTTCATTTAGTGATTATATACAACATAGTTAAATATTTACAACTGCGATACTGCTACACTGCGTTACTTGAAAATGTAACGCAGTTGTTGCATTGGTAACAATTAAATAATAGGCAATTAAATATTCATCCTACAAAGATATCAGACGGTGTCCATGTCTTAGTAAAAGTGTCTTTGTTAAAGACAAATATTACACTTATCTAGGTGTTGCTAAAAGTGAAGTTGATGAAGAAGGAGACGTCAAAATTATGTTTTACAAGACAGTAGATAAAACTGGTAAAAGGTTCAAAGCAGTAGATACTGATATTTCTTACGAACCTTACGATAACATCTTAGAAATTGTTCCTAATCCTAAAATTGTCGTAAAAGGTAAAAGGATATACTTTGATTATGATAAGCCATTAAACGTCTTTGAAAAGTAGGACTGATTTGAAAGTGTTCCATTAGTTATTAAGGTTGATTTTGTGATTTTTAATTTTCGAGTTTTTAAATTTATTTCGTTGAAGATACTTTATTTTATATGGAGTCATAGGAAGTTATATTTTGTTATGTTTTTATCGTTATACTAGATCTCTATAGAAAGTACAAATATTGTATGTACAAGAATTGTATGTAAGAAAATACTACCGTGTTACTGGGCTTACTACTGCGTTACTTTTGTGTCCCTCAGATTTTTTATAGTATTTTCAATATATCTATGATTCTTATTATTTAACGTGCTTTAATTTCATACGTACGTATTACTCATCAAAATTGAAAGATTATGTTGTAAGTTGGTATTAATTTTAAGTTTTTATTTGTAATAAATAGAAAAGCTTATGTTTTAAAATTAAATTTTGGTAACGCAGCAATCCAATGTAATAAGGATACTCTATGAAACTGATAACTTCTGTTATTTAATTTTATAAGAAGTTAATTATAAGCGTTACAGTTTCAAACTGACACGTTGTGATTCTCTTTGTACAAGATTAATAAAAATTAAAAATAAATTCAAAATGTAACGCAGTTGTTTAATTTTCCGACACCTTCATATATTGTTGACCATAACTATAATTAACTCATTTAAACTAACGCTGCAGAGGTAGGTACATTATAAACCGAACTATAACGTATCTATATCTGCATATAAAAATAAGAATATTAATATTTTTATAAAAAAAAGAAATTTAAAATCGTATGTTTAGATAAGGCATTAAAAAGTATTTTAGCCCATACACCAAATCTATTTCCTCTTTAAAAAGTATTAAGATGTTTCATAAATTACTTACAAAGATTCCAATAGTCAATACAATAAAGCACCATGTAATGGTCCTTCGAGCCGAACTCATAATTTATGTATAACAAAGAAATTGTTCTATACATGTTACATATGCAAGTTTTGATTAGATAAAGAGATACTGCACATTGTACTTTTCGCAGATGAGTCAATGTGTTATTATGAGGCCAGAGCTGTACGTGGCCCGCTATATCGATGGGATCATCGTCTAATTTGTCGTATACTTTATGTTGGAGTGTGCGTATGACATGTCATTGTGAAGCAAACATGACTATAAACTCAATGTTGTTGTATATGATCTTCATACATATTCAAGTTTGTCGCATGTAATAATCTTAACGACTTACGTTTCATTTGCATAAATAATTATTTAAGAAGAAGCAAGTTCTAAATTTTTAAACGATTCTTTTGTTTACCTATTTATTGTTTATTGCAATACAGCAAATGAAGTATTAATTTATCGACTGGAAGATAATATGGCACACATTCTCTTTCAGTCGATACGTAAGGATGTACATAATGCTTTTTGAGATGTTATCCTTACCCTTAACTTTATTATCTCGAGATTTATCGTACTTTGCAGGCATATTCAGCCACTGATCTGCTGCATCATAAATTATATGGAAAAATGCGTTTTTTTTTGAATGAGAGATGAGTTCGAAAATAGACGAAATTTTGTTTTTGAAAAAATTAAATAGTCCTACAGGTGTCATGTTAATTCGTACGAGTAGTATTTAAATATTGGTTAGGTTAGGTTAGGTAAAATACTAATGTAGTTACGACGATTAAACAGTGTAAATGACAAAACAAAGGTACTGCTAATCTGAAAATCTTGTACTGTTATTAAGGTTATAATTAGAGCAAACATAATATATTTGCCATATCATGCTGCCCCCCAAATACAATAGCCCTAGGCAGCTGCCTAGTTTGCCTGTATGGACGGGCCGGCCCATACTAAGGCAGTACCCAGTGCGGATGTCAGGTGCTGGAACACCTGGTAGCGGTGGAGCAATGTAAAATTACGAAAAATCGTAACATATATTAAAAGTGTCTTTTAATATAAACTTTAAAACTTTCACGTTGCATTATATTAGTTCGAATAAGACCGATATTAAAGCGATAGATTTCGATAGTAAGGTTTTTCACCTACCTATATTTCCCGACGTTTCGACCAGGTTACACCGGCCGTGGTCACGGGCTGACTGTTTTTTATATATTTTTTAATAGTTTTAAATGTAAATTTGTTTGGTTGGGTACGTACCTGCAGCACTTTCCCCGAGATGTATCTCTGACAGTAGGCGCACCTGACGCCGTACAGCCGCTGATAGTCTCGCTCGCAGTACGGTACACCGTCCCGGCCCATGTACTCGCCCGCTAACACCGCGCCGCACTCGCCGCAAGAGAAGCACCACGTGTGCCATTGTCTGATACGGACACCTCACATATTACTATTAGTTTATCTAACCAAGTTATCTACGATCTATGATTTTGAGTGTTAATTTGAATCTAAAATAATTTGACATTGTGCTATCTACCTGAAGCAATCAATATTATTAGTGATATCTCTTCTTTATAAATCAATGGTGACATATGGTTGTGTACATATGGTCGATATATGGTTGTTATTGAGCAACAAAAATTGTATAAAAACAGTTGTTAATTTTGGACTGGTAATTCGAGATCGTTTTTGACACGACGCCTTTGTTAAGTGGAAAGTCGACATTATTTCAATAGAAATATAATTTATCTTGTTTTCTTTTCAATTAATAAAAATGTGAAATCTATTTATTTATAGAATCATTTTTGTAACTGATTTATTACTTGCTTTTAAAATGTTTTGAAATGTTGTGGGCTAGAACGAGAATAACATAAAGGTGACTGCGATTACTAGGTATGAGATAATATTGAGTAATTCTCGTCACCTGTCTAATGCAACTAAGGCTTGTCCCTCTGATAGCTCTTGGCCGCAACCAGCACACTCTGAAACAGAATACGAATTCTGAATTAATTGATTCCACTTAACATCTGTAAATTAGAATATGGAACTTAGAAAATCCTGAAATAAATTTTAAAAGACAATTTGTTGCTTAATTGCGAAAAAAACATTCACTTTTAACCTTATAAAAATACAAGTCTCGCTCAAACTAGATGGATAGTAACTGTTAATATTAACTTTATTAAGTGAAGCTGTAGTTTGATATTCACACTCATAATGTGTTTTTTGTTATTGTTAAACAAAGAAATGGTCGGCTAATACATTTGGACAAGAATATTCATTGATAAAAACATTTTTCAAAAAATAGAACCGGCTTCAAACTTTATAAAGGGAAAAATAATACTTATCTTAAAGACAGTTCAATTTATCAAGACACTCTGGAGACGGGTTGAGTTTTTCTGTAGTCTATATGAGTAATTCATTAAATGATTACCGCCCGACTTCAATGTTTCTTGAAAAATTTTACCGCCTATAAAATAAGTATTATATTTCACTTTTTTAAGTTTGAAGTCAGTTCTATTTATTGGAAAATGTAATTTATTTCATTATTTTTAGTGATACTTACATAGGTATTACTAAAATATTAAATAAATATATAAAAGAAAATATAATAAATATATAAAACAAAATTTTATTTATTTGCACAATATAACCACAAAGAAATCAGTAACATATACCTAGGTCCTTGCATAGAAAATATATATACCCGTTGAAGATAGAAATTCCTCCTTTCGGATTTTGTATAATGGAAATTATGTTCTCTTTTGTTTTTTCGCTGATATTAACAGTCATCGAATATTTAGGTGATAGCTGATAAAAATCAGTTTGTTTTGTTATAAAAAGAAAACTATTGATTTGAATGCGATAAATTGAATGAGACCACCTCGGCTCAATGAGCTGTCGAATAAAAAACATATTTCAAAATAGATTCAAAATTGGCGGAGTAACCGCGTCACAGACAAAAACATACAGTCGAATTGAGAACCTTCTATTTTTTGAAGTCGTTAAAATGTATTATTACTACTTTACTCCTAAATTTTATGTCTCTTTAGACAAGAGACAAAATTTGTCATTTTAGTTAATTATAATAAATGATAAATATGAGTATCTCCAATTCACAATATTGACAAACTATATTATGAATCAATTGAACAAATTACATGAAGATTTAAATTTATTAATTATAATAAATTATAAGATGCTATATCCGTAAATTTATTATTAACATTATTAAATGTATCAATATTGTATGTGTGATTCTGTTTGCTTGTTTTATTGATATCTGATGGACTTGCTAATTGTTACATATTATGTTTGTATGAATATTAATTTTGATATTATTTAAAAAAAAATTGCATGCTATTTATAGCGAAATGTACCTGGACTATTATTTTGCTAATATCTTTATTGTAACCTCATTTCTAGCAAATTCTAGCAACTCTTTACTCTTTGCTCCTCTCGGAACGGCAACTTATAAAAACTTAATCGTCTAAGTGGGGACGCTACTTACCTCTTATCTACTTAACTGATTAATTTCTTAACTTGCTACTGTTGTACTTTTGGAGGGTAAATCGGGCTTAAATACTATATTCTCACCATTAGGATTTGGCTCGTGGTTCCGCGTGTCAGTCCTGTCCGGGGAACCAGCTGAGGAGGGCGAGGTGGGCGCGTGATTGTTGGCTAATGTCCGGGCGGATGCAGGGGTGGGGGTGGGCGCCGGCGACGGGGAGGGCGCTGGTGCTGCGGATGATGCACGCGCAGTCTGACGTTGAGGCGCCACGCACTGAGAGCACACCACCTCCGCGCCCGTGTACGTTACCTTTTCGCCAGACGGGAACGCGCGTCTGTATCAATACCATAGAAAACTTTATTATACATTTCTTAAAAGTCTGACGTCCCTTTTCGGAGGTCATTTACAAGTTTGATAATCTCAATACCGAGTAGCTCGTACGCCTGCTTTAAGGTATCACCATTTCTGAGATCCCATAATATTGTTCCATAATGTAACTTTTCTACATTGTTTCGACCAGGGATTATTAGTAGTTTTGAATTTTTAAAATACTGTATGAAGGAATGTAAGTAATGTTGTCAAATATATTTTCTTTATGTATTAAAACTTGTTGCTCATACTTTTTCCTAGTATATTGTCTAACATTCGCTATGGAAAGTATAACTAAAATTGGAATTTATTTAGTTGAAGAAATTATCTTAATAAATAACTGAAACAGACTGTGTTTATTACTATTTGTATTTTATATTATTTATTGATATATATAGGAACAAATTTAAATATCGACCAATAATTTTATACCAAAGTAGAATTTTTGCATGAATCAAACTATTGGAGTTCTTGATGAAACCGATGAATAAAATTAATTATGTTGTCGCTAGTTACTAAAACTCGTACTATAGTCAAGTAGAAATAATTACCAGAGCGACTCATAACGTCTAACAAATAAACAAGAATTTGTATGAAGTAATAAATAACTCTCATCTTTATAATACTATTATTATTAGCTTTCATTCGAAAGATATGTCATTTGCTGAAGTAATTACTTCCACTCGACTATAGATACGGTATAATAGTAGCATAGCACTGTATCCGGCCGTGTACGTACTTGCACCGTGCGCAGGTGAAGCACTTCTGGTGGTAGGTGTTGCCGAGCGCGGAGACCACTTCGCCTTCTACGTACTGATTGCATGCAGCACACCGCGTGCCGAAAGCACGTTGGTAATCCTGCACAAAGATAAAACATGATTTAATTTGGGTTTGAAAATTGGTTGATTTTATTCATATAAACAACCGACCTGCATTAGTATTTTTAAGATTTTCATCGTCATAATTTAGCGCAAAAACTTAACAAATAGAAAATAATCCCCGAATTTGGCTTCAGGCAGGACCATTCAACTACAGAACAGATACACAGAGTCTGCGAGAGAACTAGGAAAAGCCTGGAAGAGAAACAATACTGCTCCTCGGTGTTTTTGGACATACAACAAGCATTCGACAAGGTTTTGCAAAAGGGTCTTCTCTACAAGCTAAAAATCAATCTTCCTCACCAATACTTCTCCTTGTTAAAATAATATCTGTGAGAACATTTCAGGTGAAAGATATGGACAAAAAAATCAAAGTTTTACAATATAAAGGCTGGAGTACCGCATCTGTTCTAGGACCAATTTTGTACATAATATATACAGCAGACCTACCGCAAGTTAACGGCGACATTTGCCGATGACACCGCAATCTTAAGTAGTAATACCGATCCAGTCGTGGCATCAAAGACATAACAGAAGGGACTTCATAAAATAAAAACATGGTTCTAATAATGGCGGATAAAAGCAAGTCAGTCCAAGTTACATTCACGCTGAAGAGGGGTAATTGCCCACCTGTCAAATTAGAAAATGTTACAATGCCACACCATGACCGCGTAAAACATCTGAGGCTTCATCTGGACCATCGCTTGACTTGGGCCCATGATATAAAGATCAAGAGGCAAGAGCTCAAATTAGATTCAAAAACCTACACTCACTCATTCATCTACAAAGTCGTCATTAAGCCGATATGGTTATACGGAATCCAACTTTGGGGTAGTTCATCCACATCAAATATTAACAAAGTACAAAGAATGCAGAACCCTATATTGCGCTCAATAATTGGTGTTCCCTGGTTTGTCACCAATATCGAAATACATAAAGAGCTGATGATAGACACTGTTAAGGAGGAAATTCAAAAGCACAAAGAAAGATACCAAGACCGTTTAGAAAGACATCCCAATGACTTCGCTACAGCACTGTGGATAAAAGTTTACTCGAAACGTCTGAAAAGAAAAGACATATTATAATCTCTCCATCCTCTGGAGACATAATTAGTAATTAAGAGTAGATGGCTCACTGGAGTCACGCTCCCTCAGAGAAAGACACTGAACAAATTTGCTAAAAGTCTAATAAGTTATTGGCAGATGCAAATAAAATACAAAAAAAACATGGAGTACTTCGCAATGCAATGCGAAAGTTTCAAACTTATTTTTGTGCCGTATTGTGTCACAACAGAAGTATATCTATTTCATACTTTTAGTAGGTATATTAGACACATTGCGTATATTGTATTAATTCTAATTAAAGACTTCTATTTAAGTATACATAGAAAGTATTAAATCGCGACAGAAACATGTGTATGTTACTGTCGTACGTAATCGTAACAAGGGACAACAAAAAATGTGTTTCCAGTTTCGGCATGCCAACGGCCAAGTCTGCGGACAATGACTGCCAGACCTCGTTACTATAGGTCTGTGTAATGACTACAACAGTCCTACATTAGCCAGACTTGCCCGCCCTATACTAAACGAGGTTTGGCAGGCATGTCTGACGCTTGCCCGTGGGCATGCCCGTCTAGTAAATTCCCCGCTTACCGCCACCACCGGTTGCCGGCCGGCCGCGACTCACTGACCCCGATGTAAAAGAAACACCTGTTTGATGGCCACTCCCTTTGTTTATGTTATGTCCTACTTTTGGGTTGGCTAAAAGGGTGATGTCATTAGGCGATTACGTAATTTATTAAGTAACAGCGGTAAGCCAAAATACAGTCCCTGTTAATCTCGTTAGCAATGAGATAGATGATGACGAGTTGCGCATCTAAAACGGTTTTGAATTAATTAATAACTTGATAATAATTGCCTACTAATATTGTAAAAGTGCTGCTTAAAGTCCTCGGTTACAAAGTGATTGATTACATATAGGTGACTTTTGGTGTACCTATGCCTCTCTTAAAATAGGTGATAAGCATCTAAAGTAAAGTACCTAATAATTCGACTAAATTAGATATATCTTGTACTTACTGATATTAAAAATAGGTTACCGAAGGCCATGCAATGAATAAATGAAGGTAAAACTATTAATAGGATCATTATGATTGTCCTCCAGTGTTATAAATATCGGCAACCGTGTAAAAAAAAAATATGAGTCATGCTTTTATTACATAATGACGAAATAAGATAACAAATGTTATTAATAAGACTGGTACAGTAAAAAAATTTACGGATTTCAATGAGTGAGGATACAGTTCCGTCTGTTCTATATTCTGTGGTTCTATGGACAATCGTTGAATCTATTTAAAGCTGTCTCCTGCTAATTTCTACTCTACTTCATGTGCGTAGCTTTATACTATACAAGTGCACACATTAAATAATAATAATAATTTATTTCAAATGTTAAGTGCAGTTTGAGATAAAAAGAAAAAAAAACAAAGGTACAAAGCCCACCATATGAGGGACTGATGCCTGATAGTGATTCTACTCGTACTACAGATCACCAATTCCCTTTAATCATGGGTGACAACATTAGTTTTAACATTTTAAGTTACAAAGTATATATCCATGAACATTGTGTTTGCGGGTCTATGGCGGTGTATAATGAGTAGGTGTGTCTGCGTGCTAGTGTGTATATGTAAATGCGTGCATAAGTTATGTTAAAGATCGAATGAATGACTAATACAATGTCTAGAAGATGTCATATAGATGAAACGAGCAATAAAGAAGACTATGTACTAATAAGCATAGGTATGGACTAGGAACAAGGATCATTTAAGAGGTTGTAAAAAGATTTCTGACCTCTGGTATTCAAAGTTTTGTAGCCACACAGATATTACCAACTTACATTTGTGAAAATTTAGAGAATACATTTTTAGGATATCATTCAATTTGTTATATATTAATGTTATAAATTAATGGTGCCAAAAAGCTGTAGAAACGAAGAGAATGACCAGCTCTCATGAATGAAATCAGGCATGCTTTCCCCTTTCTGCGCCTTTCATTCTTCATGTCTAACGGAAAGTACACCACACTCCTTGTACAGCTGATTTGATGAAAAAGAGTAAGGCAATCAAGATCCTACTTTCTAGGTAGACAAGGTGAGATTTTGCTACACCCAACATGTGATACAGTATTCCAATAGCGACTGACACAAAGCAAAATAAACCATTTTCATTTTAGCCGATTATGAATGCAACCCGCAGTTCCGCAGTGTATATATGCAGTGTAATCCTACCTGCATTCGACGTTGTATTTTTAATATAATACCACTACTGCAGATCACAAGTGCGACAAAGATCAATTGTATTACATAACACATTAACATACGCCAAATCAAGTTTCAGCCATTACATGATTTAATAGATCATGACTCTTTTCAAGGCCTAATACAAATGCAAAGGTTTTCGAAGTGAACATAAAGTTTTATCCTTCATATGAATTAATAATGAAAAGTATTAAATTACGGAGGCATGCACAGAGAAAGATTTATACAGTTTCATGCCTCCGACTGCATGTTACGTTTTTATCTTCTTCCAGCCTTTTCAGTTAGTTGCTTTCACGCAGGGTGGTTTTATGTTTAATTTTAAATATAACTTTATTTATGCCTTTTTAGTTAGACAAATGACCAGGTTGGTTTAGAAAGTGAAAGAACAAAGTCTATATTATTAAACGTTATAATTGTTATTTTTATTACTCTAATGATAATTATGATGTTCCTTTTTGGAATCCTTGTAATGAGCCATATTGTAGTAATTGAACAAAAAAATATTGAATATAATCGCGTCGCACAGCCCGCCATATTTGACTTTTTTAACGTTACCTATTAACGTTACTAACAAATCTAACAATACCTCGTTTATCTAAATCGGTTTAGCGGTTCTGAAGATATGAGGTAATAAATAAAAGGTATTACATACATACAAGACACGCGCGTAAAACTTAACCATTCCTTTGCAGTCGGGTAAAAAATATCTATATAGATACCTAAAATAAATATGTATTCCATGTACAGCGTAGTAGAGCTCATCAAACTGCTTTTATGTAACTTACTTTTAATGTACTTATTAGGAATTTAGGACTACAACAAAAACATGTCTTACAGACCAATTTATTAATCATAATGCTCCAAGCCTATGGTTCGCCCCATTTCAATGTTTTTTTAAGATAATTATGTATACGCATTTGTTTCAGTGACTTATCTTTTTGTTGGAAGCATCGAAGCAAATCAGCGGTAGATTTGTTACTTCCTCCTCCATTGAATTTTCGAACGCCTTTTATCTGATCCCGAACATTTTATACAATTCAAACGCACTCTAATTATATGTGAAACTACAATGAAGACCTCGTATATATTAGCAATAACGACAAATAAAACTATTTAATAGTTTTGTTGACTTGTAACTGTATCATCTAGGCAAATATTAGGTCTGATTTAAAAGTAAGTAATAACTCTATATTATTTTTTTCTATGAGCAACAACAATGACAAATGTGTGCTGGTCGCCGGGCTAAAAAAAGAATTGATGCGTCTGTGGTGTCAATGAATGAATCACAGTCCTGCCTACGAAGTCCAACCAAATGTTGTACCAAAACAATTTTTTTTATGATAACATATATTTATCCTACATACGAACTATTCAACTTATTGAAGTACACAATAACAATAAGAGATCAAAATGAACTGCACCCTAAAACATGCCTATGTTCTGTGCCGAGTGACTCGCAAACGTCGAAAAGATAATAAATATACATATATTAAATACCAAATGTAAAAGATTGACGGTAAAAGGTGACGTACTCATTATTAAATGTAGCTTTTCTATTCTGTTTAAAATACATAACACTACAGGAAAACCACAAAATTAGCACATCAAGTGCCAAGGCGGTGACGGCTGTATCTTTAAGTTATATGATGGATCTATAGGTATTTTACCTGGGGACAGTAGTAGTGGCCGTCTTTACAGAAGAAGCCTCCTTTGGCGAGCGAGGCGGAGCATGTGCGGCAGGTGAAGCAGGCGGTGTGGAAGTACTTGTCGGTGACGCGCAGCACCTCGCCGCTGCATTTGCCACCGCAAGCGCCGCACACCACCTTGCCTGCAAAGAAAAAAACCTCTTGTTAACCATTAAACCAATCTAGCTTCACATATATATGTATTTTTAAGTTTCATTAGTAAATCTTTGCATTGAACAAGTGTGAATTTCACGTGTAAGGAAAGTTAAAAAGTATAATCGTGTGTGGCATACCACAAATTACACATATCCTCGGTCGCAATGCCGTGACCCAATAATTTCCCCTCGAGCGATGTTACACAACTTGTTGCGTCACCTTATCGTTACGGATTAAGGCCGACGGAACCCCCGTGACGTGTAAGTCTACTATGATAAACTGTCAGTACAATCTATGTCAATGTTCGATCAGCCTGAACATGAATCCTAACCAAATCAGAATCTTACAAATACGTATAACTGAACAGAATTTCAAAATCATGCTGTAAGATCACCGCATTGCCTATTTATTTATTTTTGATAAATAATACTAAAATGATACTAAAGTAACGTATATACGGTAAAATCAGGTAATATATTATACAATGCATCATCATTAGTAACTACTGTAAATTATCTCGTCCTACTAGTTAGTGCAATTCCAGAGGTGGCAGGTCACTGCACTGACCTCCGAATTCATTAATTCAATCAGCTCTTCACAAATCACCACTTGGCCGGGGTCACATCCCACATAGCATTCCATTGTTTAATATAATAAATTAATTGAAGAACCAAGTGGCGAGAGAGCTCTTTGGAATGACGGAAACACATTGGAGTGAGAACCGAAATGAATGATTATATGAATATTTTTAAATTTAAAATGTATGGCAGTATTGTTGGCATATTTTCCTCATCAATCAAAGCAAAAAAGTTATATAAATAAGATCGTAATAAAATATATATTTATAGAATTAAATGTTAAAGATAGATGCACGTTCACAAGTAATACTACAATAATAGAGTATCAGTACAAGCAGCGAAAGTAATTAGCAAAGCGCTCATTCGATGGTCTCGTTAACTGATCTCTGACTCGTTAATTGTTCTGCTGCTCTACTGACAGGAGTCAGTAGAACAGCAGAACAATTCTGTAAAAATCCGAACACAAATTCGAATTCGCTCATGTGTCATTCGAATACACGTCATTTAGCGAAGAAAATCTATCGATTCCATTTTTGTGTAAAAATACAAAACAAGATTGATGATTCATACGTGTCTCATATATTCTATTCCTATGTCATTTTGAAACTCACTTCACTTATGCCACGAAACGTTATTACAATATTTAGGGTTCTTAAACACGTTCTTTATAGTGCCATTCGATAGATCGAACTATAATTTTTTTTTTTTAAGTTAGGTAACAAATTGAAATATTCCCAGGCAAATAAATGAGTTGCCATCAGGATAGTCACGGTGACACGCGCCGCCATCAGCACGACACGGCTGCACATAAACGACCCGATTTAGGAATCGATAACCGCCGATGAAGTCAGCGCTTTTATTTGTATTGAAACTATTGTAAGGGTACGTTCACCTTTAGCAATTTAATGCTCGTGGACGTTTCATAAAATAGTGGTGTAGATCCATGTCAACGATGTTTTTGCTCCAGATTAGCAATTCATGACACACCGGTGATGTTGCCAATCACGAATTGATCGCTCTTAAAATAAACAGTCTGAATGCTCTCATAATTACAATCAATTAAAATCACTAGCATGTCATTTTTAAATATGCTACAGTTTTTGCCGAGTAAAAATTGTGGTAATGACCTGCAATTTAAATTCCTACGCATAATCTGGTCAATTAACGCTTCGAGGCATTAACAAAGGTGTCTAAATAATATATACAAAGTTATGTCACTGTTAATGATTAAAAACGAAGTAAAAATGGTCATAAAATCATAGTTTGATTTGAGTAAGGGAATCCGAGTAGTCTCAGTCATTTTAGAGTAACTAATCGTTCTATGTCCATGCCAGGCCACAAACTTATGCATGAGTTGATCGATCAACAGCATATTCGGTACTGTATACAACTCTTATTTGATATTTGATTCATATGTTTTTGGACATGATCCGTTTTCGGAATGCTCTATAGTCGATCGACTCTATTGTTGCGACTCCCCTTCATACTGCGCCCTATGTTGTTCACATCTGTTGCATGTTTGTCGCTCACTTCGGCGCGTAAATTATTAGAATTAATCTAAATTTAGATACTGATACTTGATGTTCGCCATCTAATTTTAGTTTAAAGAAAATGGTTGAGTTAATGATCCTTTAGCTTATCTCAGTACAATTCAAAACTGTAGGTACCATTTTTTTAATTTTAATGGCTTCAAAATCCAAAAGGAAGAGGTTATATGTTCAACGGCGATGTATTTTTTTTTTATGTATGTTGACCGATATTTCTGCAAATAGTGTGTTTAGAATTCATAAAAAATCCGAAAAGAATATTTTTTATGTTAATCAAACAAAATTCTATAAAACAAGCTGTTTCCCAGTGACTTCGCATACGTAAATTATAGCCTATGTCCAACGCGTATTAAGTAGCTTCCCATAGATGATACTTTCATAATTCGATCATTTAATTTAATTAATAACCTTCTGTAGCCTCGACCTCCGCCCGCCCGACTTCGATTGCATTTTCTTGAATGAGTAACTTTCGAGTTAAGTATTATTTATCATTTTCTTAAAGTGTGAGATTGGGTTTACTGAATATGGCTTTTACTAAAAAATATATATATTTTATTTAAAGATTTATTTTCTAATAAATTGAAAAAATATTGTTCTACTATTATTATTATAAAATAGCTATTTCATTAGGTCAGACGAAAACCCCAATATATTCCGCCTTTTTCGTTCAAGTTCGTCGAACAAACTAAAACTGACGTAATCTCATATTAGTACCAAAACAATTTGATACATTTGAATATAAAAACCAAGCAATTGCATATAAAAAATTACCCTTGATATTTTAAAGTCCAGATGAGGATACTATAATTAACTACACGTGATTTTCGAATACGACTATTCATAATATCCACATTTAAAAATCCTAATCACAATAAATGCCAATAACACAGTTTACCCTACTTAAAAATATTTTCATTATTTTATCATAGGTAAGTTGAGTGCCATCTGGTTTCAGTTGGCTCGTGCCTGCCTACGTTTTATCTTAGGATTTAATGAGGTTTCAAAGACACTCTGTTTCTATTCATCATATGGTATGTATTACATTGATTACATGAGCTCTGTATGCGCGTGTTGTTCCGGGCGCAGGCTTCCATTCACACTTCCTTCTAAAGAATAAAACGAGCTTAAGTTTTGTAGATTTTGAATACTTAATCATAAGAAAACTCCTTTTTTAATCAGACTGAGAAGTTAGTTTGATCTAATAAACTAAAGTTTTATTTATTCTGTGCTACGATTAACGACTGCAAATGTAGATGTTGTTAATTTGTCACTTTCGGTGTTGACGAGGATGTTGAGATAACTAAATCATTTCACTCACGTGTCAACAACTTTAGAATACACTCCAATGAAGAGCAAATTGAAAATAAAATTCAGGGTGAACAAACTTTTGTATAAACAAAATATGTTGGCGTTTTTATAACAAGTGTGTTGACGTTCAAATTATATACTATACCGAGATATAATTTCCGATTCATTTTATTTTTGATAGAGATGTCTCACCTTCTCCTCCTTCTAAGAAAGTTTATGCGACTAAACGGCAGTTGTTTTTGTGCACATCAATGTACCCAGTTAATGTATTTTGTGTCATGTATTTTGGCAGATTCTGATAAAATATATCGATATTCTAGGAAACACAATTCACTAGTCCTTACTAATACTGCAATCAGTAACGACCCATATCATTTATTAATGAGGTAAGGTCCTAGACATCAGTCTGGTTATGAGAACATCTGGACTTCAAAAGAATTGCGACACTAAAAACAGGTTTTAGGTACAAAGTATGGTCACCAACATTAACGTGACGTAGAAACAGATTCGATCATGCACATCATAACATAAACAGCGCTAGGCTTTCAGCGTCTGGTTTCAATATTTTGCTATAAGTTCCCTCTATCTTTGGATCTGTTGTAAATATATGGTAAACATTCAAAATTGGTGGATTGTGAATAAAAAAGGATGTTATTTGTATTTGGACAGGCAGGACGTCTGTTCATGTTTCTTTAGATTTTATAATCAGTTATAAAGTGTGGCATTGAACTTTCTTAAATATAAGTTCAAACATCTATTGGCCATGACAGCGATATTCAAATATAGGTTTTATAGGTTTTAAAACGATCCGCGTTAATTCCATGGGCGACGGCGGCGACGATGGCGGGCAGAAGGCAGTTGCCCCTTTATAGCAATATAGAAGCAGACGGAATGTGTGTTAAAATTATCTCGCTTTGGCAGGACGCCAACGATAAAACGCTCGTAGGGTTGCCTCAGCCACGGTATATAATTCCAAAAAAAAATACTTGAAAACAGAATTTCCGATCCCAAAATTATTTATTGATAATACTAGGTTCAACTTTATTGCATCACTTTCTAGTTAAGACAAATAAAAATTAAAAAGAAAACAAATCAATAGTTTTATACAATAATAATATTAAGTAGATACGTTATAAGCGCAAAACCACTATAAAATAATATGTAATTTTGTTTTTTGCTTTTTCATTTTCATGGTATTGGATTGGATTCCTAGGACTTGAGGATCTTAAAAAGTCCACTGAAGTCAAATTGTGATAAAAAAATATTGGAGTAACTGAATTACTAGCATTCGACTTGTAAAAGTATACGCTCTTATTAGTGACAGTCACGCATAATTAGATAATATTTCCCAGTAAAGGTGTTGAGTCCGTATCCGTAGCCCACGAATAACCCATATTGGATTACCTACTGGATGTGTAGACGGCGCCGACCGCACGCGCCGCCACAGAATCAGCAACGCACGCACACCTGCCCCGAATACCCGACTATGTCTGGAATCCGTTTCCGCGTTTCCATTGCTGTGGTAGCAATACTACATTGCTTCAATAGTAATGG